TAGCAGGAGCGTTTGTCTTCATAATGTCAGAGACTGTGAATTTGGCATGATATGACACGAGACATTTTAAATAAACCAAAATTGAACCCGTCTCCTGGAGCTCATGCGTGATGCCCTGCATCTCGTGATGCCTGCTATATTGTAAAACCTGGCCTTTTGACAGGTCATACGGTGAGTGAGGAAGACGCTGTTAATAAAAGCTACAAGCGTCTTTTGCTGTGTATTGCAGATGAGTTTTTTTCCCCTATAGAGGAGGGAGGAGGGGTTATTTTGCATTCATCCATACTCAGATTTGTCTGTGAATCACACATACAGCTGTGGCACTTCTGCCTGTCATGAAGTCCTGTAGTCATTTCCACGTCCTATTGAAAAACATCAGAGGCTCGGGGGTAGTAATGGATTTCGATGATGAACAACAACAAGCCAGTATCTTTAAAAGCACGGAGAAATGCTCTCTACACACTGATGCCTGTATTAGCAGAAAAACAAAGGCCGTGACAGTCATGTCAGGGACATTAGAGACAGACTATTAGAGAGAAGTTAATTCCTGCTTCCTTTTTTTTTTTTTTTTTTAAAACCCTTTAATGAACTTTGAGTGACATTTTTCTAACATCTGCTCACTTGTCTCCTGCAGTTGTCTGTGCGATGCAGTGACGTATGCTAGGGGATGAATGAGAACAGTTCGTTAAGACGCCTTGTTCTCTGCTGCCAGCCACCCACGATTTGATGGCAGCAGTGATGAGGGACCTATTTCAGCTTTTCAAGTGTTACAGTTGTTGCCAAGGAGATAAGGACATCATTGTGCTTGAATTCTCCAAGGACAGAAAAAGGTTTTTTAGACGGGCTAGTGAAGGTTATAATGTACACACAGAGACTCACACACACATACACACCGGACTCAATATAGCATGCATTCCATTTCTCAAGGGCATGTACATGTAACCGCTGCTTAATTGAACTGGACCCGAATTGTTTGCCGCAGTGATGAAAGCACCAAAGGGTGTCTGGTTTCATTGCGTGCAGGTGACAGATGAAGTTAAAGGCGAGTTCTGCTCAATTTTGCAAATTCCCGTGAATTCTGAAGCGCGGTGAACTTTTTTCAGCCTGAGAACAAGAGACAGATTTCAGAAGTGTTATCAGTTTGTTCCTTCTCTGAGCTGCTCTGCTGAATGAGATGGACACTGCCTTCACTGCATTCAGATCGGCTTACTATAGAAAACGTTATCACTACTTTTCCCATCTTTTACAAATTATTCTGCTAATATAATTTTTCTGTGGCGGAAAGAAAGAAGTTGGGGGCGTTTTTGTTCTCACTGAAAGACATTGCATTGTGCATGGAGCTGTTTGTCCAAGGATCTTGGGTTTTTAGACAAACATAAAAGGTTTGTATGAGTTGATATGGGATTAGAGGCATGTGAAGACGGGTAAAAAAGGTGACTGTGGAATAAGGTTATTCACATGCCCCCAAAATTGACTTGTTAATTCTTTAATTGGGATTGCTCAATTACCCATCAGCGGGTATGGGTACCTGCACATTTAGTTTTTTTTTTTTTTTTTTACTTTTACTGTGCAAAAGTTATTCTAAAGACTCTTCAGAATTTTTTTCCATCATGCAACTCCAATCAATCTAGGGCTGCACGATTTTGCATAAAATGAGAATCACGATTTTTTTTGCTTAGAATTGAGATCACGATTCTCTCACGATTTTCTTTTCCAGTATAAATATTTATTGCACTTATTAACTGCACATCAACTTCGTAACAGTTGAGACTGAACATAAAAACAATAAATAAACATAAAAACAACAAATGTCTCACGTTTTGTTGTTGCCGCAAAATGTTGTACTGCTTGAAATTCCGTCTCCACCGTTGCTCGACGCTGCGTGTATAGAGCAGGTAGTGCAACAATAGAAAAATAGTTGCGGGACGGCACTGTGTAGCGTTTGTCTAGGGTGTTGATCATTTTCCTAAATCCCTCGTTTTGCACAGTGTTGATGGGAGCCATATCTTTGGTCAGGTGATAAGTGATAGCCTCCGTAATTTCTTGTGCTGGAGTTCGACGTGTATAGGGAAGCGCTGTATAAGGTTCCCGTTATTGATGTTTGGGTGGTTGACCGGGACGGATTTTCTCCTGTCACTTTCTCGTCATCCCTGACGTGCTCTCCGTTGTTTTTTCCCTGCTAATTTTAGCATCACACGGCACAGCTTCTGTATCACGTGGTATAAGGCTCCGCCCTTGTCATTTGTTGAGCAGGAAGAGTGAGCGCTTGTTTTCATGCAGATTACGTCCCGGATCAAAATGCGGTACAATCGTCGTCGTCTTCGTCTTTTTTTTTTTTTTTTTTTTTTTAAAATCGTTGTCATTTGGAAATGAGATCGCACATAAGTATGAATCGAGATCGCGATTTTCTAACGATTAATCGTGCAGCCCTAAATCAATGCCATCATATTCATCAACTAGCACCACAAAGACTCCAAACATTGATTCAGAAAGAACACAGGAAGAATAGGGAGTCCTGCAACTGATGTGAAAAATTATGTGAAAGGCAAAACACAGGCAGGAAGATTGGTTTAGTTTTTATCTGTAAAGTGCACTTTGTATGAAGTGAAGTGTACAGTATTTTTACAAACATTAGTTCGCACATTAGTGACATGAGTTCTCGAAAGGATATTTACTTTTAGTGTCTTATAATTTGCACAGAACTTTTTATGTATAAATCATTTTTTTAATGCGATTCATCACAACAAACTAGGTCTTCTGTTAATCTCACGTTTCTTCATTTAAGTTCTGTCCGATTCATAGATGCACCCTCTATAGGAGCTTTCAGCAGTGGTATTTAACCACACAAGCCACACATTGCTGCACATCAGTGAGCCTCGGTTGATTGAGACCATGCTGCCGGTTTCACAGGTTGTCCTTCTTTGGGCAACTTTTGGCAGGTAAACTGGAACAACATGGCGACAATTGCAGATGTTATCACCCAGTTTCTTTGCCATCACAAGTTGGCCAATGTCAGAGTTGATCAGATACTTGTGCTGCCCATTTTTATTGCGTGCCTGAGAGGAAATCAACGGTCTGTTCAGATCTGTGTTTGGCTGGAGTAACTAAATGCTTTCAGTCTCAAACGGGGAGAGAATGTTTCACCTGTGCAGTTTTGATGAGGTTAACAAGGATACGGTGGATGTTTGCACGCATCTACCTGAATGGTTAGTTTAGTTTTTGTTAAATAGTGACCATCAGCAACCGTGTTTTTTGTTTGTGTTCTCTTTTGTACGGTGGCCCTGAGAGGTCAAATGCTCCAACTTAAGAAAACACCAGCAAAGAGAAAAATGCTACAAAAGCTCACAAAACACAACTGAAGTTTTTGGGGAGACGATAACGTGACGAAAGTGCAGAACCGAAAAGTTAACAGTAAACAGCGAAGATGTATCCACAATATGTTAGGAAAACGTGATTTTAAAACTCCCATTGCCCTTTTCTCCCTCACAACATCGATGACCTCTCTGAACTTTTAAGCGTGCCTCAGTGCAATCCTTCACTTTATTCCTTCTCTGTTTTTTTTCCATTTCCACTGTGTTTGTGTGTGTGTTTTATGTGCTTTGGCAGCGTTTTTCTATTTGTTGGTGTTTTCTTAAGTTGGAGTCCATTTGACCTCTCAGGGCTGCCGTACATTTCTGATAACTGTGGAAATTCTTTGTTTTTGTTAGCCTGTATTGATCTTTCATGGGTTTTTTTTTCTGTTCCTACAGAAATACCTACAAAGTAACCCTGCGCACCAAAGTGCTGCTGTCGATGAGCATTACTTTCTGAATGAAAGTGCAGCTCAAGTAAGGTATGGTAAAGATATGTAGACGCTCTCCCCCCCCCGATTTTTCTGGATGGTTTTGCACATTTGCATGTGGAATTCAAAGTGAACTTCAAAAATATTAAACAAAATTATTATTCTGTGTTTTTCTTTTTTTCTTTCAAAGGGACATAACAAAGTTTAAGCCCCTCTCCAGCAGGACATCAGTGAGCGTGCTCACGGGGGACTCCTTTGACATGCAAATGCCAGAACACCTAAACCAAGTGAGTGCCTTTACTGTAACTGCACAACTTCATGCTGCATCATTAGGTCTGGTACAGTGACTGAACAATGCTCTAATAACATGGTAAATCATATTCCCCATGCACCAGATGGTAGCGAAGCTTCAAAAGAGGTTTCTGGAGGAATCCTACCCGTCGGCCAATCACATTCACATAAAAGGAGCAGACCGGCGAATGATCTACAAGAAGCCATCTGCCATCAGCCAGCACCTGAGGAAGCTAGTCAACCAACGACAAGCCAAGCAGCAGAGCGAGTGACCCGTGTCCAAAATGTAACTACACCCCAGACATGAATGGAGTAATAAGACAATCAAGTTACCTTTTTTATTTTTTTAAACATTTCTTTGCAGCAATCTGGAACGATTGTCTACACGTCTGCTAAGGTTCATCAAGCAGTCAATTTCAGAACACACTTTTTTGCAGAGCTCTGCTTCATTGGAAGCTTTTTAATTGAAGATAACTGGAGGGTATTCAATGTGATGAAGTATTTCCTGTCTTAGATTCATCTTATCTTTCAAGTTGTTATTTCAGGCTCTTCACCTGATTGGCCAGTACCAAAAAAATTAATACATTATTCCTTATCAATGCAAAGGCCACACACACGTCACCGCTCAACCGGATACCTTTTTTTTAAAAAATTTTATCTCACTTGGTTCTGTCTTAATATTCTGCCATGTTATAGCCACAAGGGAAGATACATGGAGTCCTCTTGCGCTGCTGCATCACTTCATTTTGTTACTCGCATATAGCTGACCTCCTGTTTTTTGGACTTTTTTTTAAAACTGCAAATGTTTTTCAAAAATAAATCTTTATATATATATATATATAAGTGTTTGTTTGTTTGTTTGTATAACCCTGCAGTGATCTTATTTTCTGGTATAGATTCATGTGAAAGAAACACCAGAAAGCACTGGTTTATCCTGAGGATTTAAGTTTAATTATGACACCACATCAAAATAAAAATTTCCAACAGATCTGGAATTTAATTCCATCCATATACATGCATAGCAACAACGTTTTAAGAAACATTTTCTCCCATAATCAGGACATTGGAATGATCATTTTACATCAGTATCCCCCACTGACCTCCCAACCCATCTTGTTCGTCAGCAATAAACTTAATTCTTGTACAACTTGCTTTTTTTTTTTCTCTTTTTGTTTTTAAATTCCCAATGGGGTTACAAATAATTATATGCACAGTCCCCATTTCGTAATACTGCTTTCAGTAATGTTCCCTCATTTACAAAGTATTGCATTGAGAGCAAAATTTGAAAAAGGGAGACCAAAGTGTATCATCAAACAGAAATACGAGTACTATACAAGAATGCTGCCATCCTCATGAAAACATCCACATCTGAGTTGAAGAAAAGAGACAGGGACAAACAGCCACATATGTATGCAAAGCCATATGTATATGCCAAAATGTGAGATGCAGGGTTGTGCCAGGTGATCACCCCCACCCACCCCCCCAAAACGGCGGCTTTTTAAGGCTAACAAGTCATTAGTAGCAAACTGCAAGTGACATTTTGGCCATATACAGAAACTGGTACAGCAAATAAGAATACACAAGTGCCTCAGTAGCTATTTTTGTGTCTAAAATGCATCTCATTTTTGTATTGTCTATTGTTTCATTGAGCCTACATTACAGTGTAAACAATATGTGTGCTACACAAGAATGACTATACAATAACATTACAAACAACTCTGATATAAATTTCATTTTGAATTTAAATTAAGACCACTACTCCTATTAATACTGATTGTAAAATAAATTAATGTGAAAGTGGCACCAATATTATTCTTGATCCATTTTTCTTTTTCTTTTCTTTTCTTTTTTTTTTAAACCAATGGTTTTGCATTTGTAAGTCTTAAAACGATGAAAGAAGAAGCTTCTCTTGATTGTCCACAAGCAGCGGTTAGCACTGCATGATGCACTATTCCAGACACAACAGTGTACCAAAAAAAAAGAAAGGAGGAAAAGTCAGTAAGGGGGGGAAGGTGTCGGGGGAAGGAGCGAGGGGGAGGATGAAGAACGTGTCTTCTCTTATTTTACATGCTCGGCAGCATGTGACGAACAGTAAAACTTCTTATGGGTAATAAAGTTTGACAGGTTGTTGAACTGGATGTCACAGAGGCGGCAGTACTTGCCGCTTCCGGAGCCGTTCACGCCCTTATTGGCTGTGGGCGCTGCCTCCTCGTTTGGGGACTTGGAGGAAGGCGACATGTTCTCGTTGGAGTCGGTCTGATTTTCGGTGGCCCACGTCGGTGAGGGATTGGGGGGCTGGCTGTCTGGCTGGGGCTGGTTCTCTTGCTGCGGCGGTGCTGTGCCTGAACGCTCCTCGGACTTATGCCCCCCGTTGACAATGACCATGCCTCGGTTTTTGGGCAGGAGGGGAAGGGGTTCCTTGCCAGGGTGAGGGCAGCCGTTAGCAGCAGGCTGTGTGGCCTGCTCTCTGGTTGTTCCCGTCTCTCCTCCTCCAGCACCTCCTCCCCCATTAACACTTTGCTCCTGTTCACCGGTCTCTCCCTGCACCGCTGGCCCCCCGTAGTCAGTTGGTTTTATCCCAAAATACGGCGATATTTGCTCAGGACCTTTGACCTTCTTTATTGCTCCAGGGTAGAGGCAGTGGGGCAGAAACATATTCTTGCTGTCCTCTTTTGATGGGATGAGCTGGGGTTCAGCGAAAGACTTGAGACCCGGCACGGGCCCCAGGTGTGGAGGAAACATGCCTCCATTCTGCACCATCACCTTCCCGTTGCCATTCTTCTCACATTTGCCTGGGTTCTTATCGTAGACTTCATCCGGGTTACCGCTGCTTTCACTCTTCACATCTGGGAACATGGTCGTCTCCAGGCCGCCGCTCTCATTGTGCTGTTGTTGCTGTTGTGGCTGCTGCTGCTGTGCGGCAGTGGCGGCGGCCGTTGCGGGGCAAAAGTTCTGTTTGTGCGCCAGGTAGTTCTCCACTTTGTTAAAACTTATCTTGCACACTGCGCATTCATGATAGTCCAAAAGTCTTTTGGGAGAGCTACATGACTTGTCGGATACCGGCGAGCATTTTTTGCTAAGGTCAATGGGAGCGTCCAGCTCCTGTGGCTCCACGATGTTGCATTTGGGAGCCAGAACGGGTTTGGTGACAGTCAGAGATGCCTCCAGGTGTTTAGGTACCATACTTGGGAACATATCACAGCGGGGATGGAAGCGGTCTGAAAGGCTCTCTACAGCTTCCTGGGATGTGCAAGGGTTCATGGGAGGAACCCCAAGGAAACCTGGCTGACCCATAGGGGGCCTCTGGTGGTCCTGATCCGGGAGACACATCTCATACATCTTCCTGCGCTTACGACTCCTCATGGTTCTCTGCATGGAGGGCACCTTGTTGGTGGGCATGCGTTTCATGGGGGGATCATGACGAGTGGCGCAGTAGTACTGCTTGTGGACCATGTAGGTCTCGTGACGACTGAACGTGATATTACAGGCGTCGCAAGTCGTCTTGGTCGGATCGTTGTCACTTTCCACCAAACCTGTGCTGGGGCTCTTCCCCTCCATCTGCTTGTCATTCAGCCTCTCCTCAGCCCCAGTTGGCGTGGAGACCTTCTTCACCTGTCCTGCTAGATCCTTATCGGGGCCTTTAGCCCCAGCGTTGATCATGTCCAACACGCTGGAGTTCAGGCAAGCTGACTGCATGAGGTGGCTGTCAGCCTCCGACGGGTGGCAGCCGGCCAACATGCTAACAGAACTGTGACCGCTGTTGGGGCTAACCGCCTCGGGGACCTTATCCGAGAGGGCAGAGAAGTCGGGGGACTTGGCCATGTGCTGCCAGCGGCTGTTACAGTAGTGCTTTTTGTGGACCAAATAGTTGTCCAGGTTGCTGAAGGTGATATTGCATTCAAAACAGGTGGCCCCTTTGGGCATAAGAGGACTGTAGATGACAGGGGGGTAGCTGTTCCCTCCGTGGCGCAGCCTCCGGTGAACTAGCTCTGACATTTTAGCCAGAATCTCAGAAGCCTGCGGGACTACTGAAATGTCTTGGGAGAACGCAAACTGAGACAAGAAGGGGCCCATGGGAAATGTAGGCATGTTATGCTGCACAGGGGAGGAGGCCAGTCGGGGGCTGGAGGGCTCAGACTTGATCCTAGTGTAAGAAAAACTGGCTTTGCTGCCTGGGTGGGCCTCTCCCTTCTGAACAGACAGCATGGGCTTCTTCTCAGTCTTGTCAACTTCCCCGTCTGTGCTGGTCTCCTTGTTGAGGGTCCCTTTGGGACTTCCGAGCAGAGCGTCCTTCCTGTTGGCCAGCTCAGTGCGGGCCTGCTGCTGCTGCTGCTGGAGGCTTTCCTCCGGCCCCCTGGGGGAGTGCTCTGTGCCGTTACCTTCCCTGTGAAGTTTGCTGCCGTGCCCATGTAAGTCCTGATGCTGTAAGAGTTCCCTGTGGCTCTGGAAGCTGATATGGCAGTGATTGCATCTGAAGGCCGCCTGTGACAGGTGAGACATGATGTGATGCTGGAATGTAATAAGAGAATCTGCCGTGTAGTTACAGATTGTGCATTTCAAGCTGGTGCCAGGAGGGAGGCTCTCTTCCATTTTGACACCTGTGAAGGAGATAAAAGGGAAAAATGCTCAGAATCTCGCCTCCCACTTCTCCTTTAGAGTTAACTGTAGAAACCATCAAACACTCATGCATTATGCCAAGCTTATTCCCATCCACTCTATTTTTTATGGCTCAAGGATAAACTGTCAACTATACCAGCTGACAGTACGATATGTATATTCCTCAAAATATATGACAGTTGGGGGTTTTTTTCAAGCCAGCCTAAAGACCATGTGAATAAATGCAGGCTTTCATTTAATATTTAGTGAACTTTGGCTTTTGGGGGATCCATACATTAAAAAAAAAGAAAAGAAAAAAGATATCTGTTGCCTCTCTGACCCATGACCTTAATACTCACCACTGTGCGAGGTGCTCAAGTGCATTTCTAGGGCCCTGGGTCCGGAGAAGCTCTTATTGCACTGTGGAAAGGGACAGATACTGGGGGTCTGGTGTGGGCCACTGTCATTCTCCTCCACCACCGTCTCTGGCTCCCTCTGCCGCCCGCTGCAGTAGTACATGAGATGAGCCTGCAGGTTCCTCTCGCTCCTAAACCAGATTCCACATGCTTTGCAGGGGAAGATGTCCTCTGGAGAGGGGTGGGGAGACAGAAAGGGACAGAGGGGATGTGACATCAGGATACAAACAGCACTTTTATATTTACAGATAAAGGGCCTGCGCAAGCTCCTCTCATACGTCTACAGTCCTGCCTCTCAAAGCCTGCGTTAAAGGCTTTTCCACCAAATCCTCGGCTGCAGCATATCGCTGTGTTGCTACCAGTGGGTTGGTGCCCTTTCTCAAGGGCAAACAAGAACACTGGACCATCTGCTTACAGAAGCCTCCCTGTCGAGCTGAACCCAGATAGCCCTCGCTAAGTAAACAAACACACTATTTGCATGAGGCGTGTATTTTGCAATTAACACGTTAGTTCGAGCCTCAGTGTGTTTATGTGAACCCCCCCAAACTTGAAGGTCGATGGCTCTTATCTCCAGCGCAGAGACTCATCTGGGTTAATCTACGCCCGGGCGGAGACGACGCTCCTTGTTAAGCAGGTGACTGAGTGCAGGCTGTGGACTGGTGTGTGTGTGTGTGTGTGTGAGAGAGACAGAACAGGAGTGCGATTGTGCATGTCTAAACAAAAGCACATCTCGTTCCAGCTCCGGTGCCGGTGCATGTGCAGACACTCACTGTTGACGATGGCAGTGGGCAGGATGGAAGCCATGGCGGCCTGCTGCGGCAGGAGCTGGATGCTGTCCAGCAGCCTGGCTGGGTACATGCCCTCACTCAGAGACATGTGGTTCACCGGCTGCAGACGGGAGTCAAAGTCCACCGCAAACGCCACCAGCTCCTCGCCCTCCATCATGTTCTTGGTGGTAGTGCACCACAGTTGGCCACCTGGACAAAACAGGAGATAGAGGAGACGTTTAAACGCCTGCTGCGAGGGAGGAGAGAGCGCAGTTTCGTGCGCGCACGACTAATTCTGGTCTTAAATGTCAGAGCATTACGCAGACGGAGAAATGGTAATTGCTTGCGCACAAGTCAAACACTTGAATGGGTGTTGCGTAACTGCGGAGCTTGAATGAATCATCCTGAAGTCTTGATAGTATTCTTAAATAACAAATCGTCAGAAATACAAAGGGTCAGGTCATCAAAATGACAAAAAAATAAACCAGAACGGAAAGTTCTTAGCAGGAACATGTGTTTTCTAAAGTCAGCGCCAATATTACTCTTGATAACTGTCAGCAAGCTGGCAGCAGTTTTTAGTGCGACAGTTTTTCTTTCTTTCTGCTGTATCAATGAAAACACTGAGATGTGTAGATTCTTCGCACTCTCCTGAAAGACACTCGCTTTTTTTAAATGTCATTTTTCAGCACCGTGAGCAGGGTGACTGTTTACGTTGGCGTGAGGGCACAAATCTCGCGTACTTTTATTTTCTCGATAATTTTGGTGAATATCCTTCATCTTTTTTTTTTTTACTGCCACTCAAATTTCTTTCAAGGCTCCTGGCACTCATATCCAGAAGCAAAGTGCACCTCAGCTGGGCTAAACTGTAGTCTAGAGTGCTGTAGTCAGCTAGAACACTGAGACAGGGCCTCCATAATATTAGATTGTTGTGTTTTGGGATTAAGCATTCCTCTGAAATCTTCTGAACATATTCATTAAGTCGGAGAAAGGGTGGGGTGGAGCGGTGTGCAGGAGGAAGCAGGGAGGGAGGGTGGCAGAGGGAGAGAGTGAAGGTTTTAGCTTAGATAATATTTATCTCAGCACATGACAGGCTTTTCAGCTGCACTTCATTTTCCATTGAAGAGATTAAAGTTTTTAATATGACTATTTACAGAAATCTGGCTGGGGAGATAACAACAAACTATGATACGCCGCCGCTAAATGGCAGAATTAGGACATTGTTTCTGAGGAAAGCTGGACAATTAATTAAAGCGTGCTGTTAGCTTTCAAAGATGTGCAAACATACCGACGGAGTGTCAGGCTGAGAAGGGGGGAGGCGGCGACGGGAGACATGTGATTTGAGCCCTGGCTGATGCGGAATAAAGAGAGTCCTGAGGAGAGGTGTGAAGGCAGGGGGACACTGCTATAGAAAGCCCCGGCACATGTGCAACACTGATTACTCATGTTTACACAAAACCTGTGAATCACCAGGTTTAAAACCGCCCTGCAGACACGGCGAAGGTGCAAGAAGGAGCAATCCACTTTTCTGTCTGTTTATTAGAGGCACGGCCACAGAGACGGAGCCGCCAAGTCTTTACGCCGCCACGGCACGCGTTACGTCCAAATCGCTGTTAAGTCTGCAGAATGAGGTGCCCCGTTATTTCAACAGGAAATTGAATATTTAAGATTTCGCATCACTGTCCTGATTAAAACCTCTCTAGCCCTCTCCTATCTGCTGGTGAAGCACTGGAAATTAGACCAGCACAAATGTGTCAAAGGACTGAAATGGTATTAAAATATGCTATCTCTCAAAGTCCCATTTGTGTGCACACTTCCCCTTCCCCTTGAGTGTGTGCGTGCATGGGCGCGTGCGTCCCAGCGCCACTTTAAAGAGCAGTGCCTATCTGTCGTCCAATCTGCTGTGACGAGACACACACTTCAGGCCGCTCCACTTCATCGTTTTGATTCTGTCATACCACACACTGCCTGGAGAGGCCCTTTGAATTTTTATCTCCTAATTAAAATAACAAAACTCCTCTCCACTGTCTGCCCAAGTTACCATCAAGGTAGATACAAACTGCCACTGACAATGGCGGTGGAATATATCGCAGCCATAGCCACAAAAAAAAAGTTTCTCTCCTCCGCGAGGATTCCTTAGTTCAAAAACGCGCTTACAAAGGGAATTACCAACGAGGCCTCGGCGCTCAGATACAAATCAGTGTTTTCTTGGGTGGGGTGGGGAAGATCAATCAAAATCAAAGATGCTGTATGCTCTCTCAGCTGAAAATGAAGCAGATTATGTGGAGTCTGATGGAAATCTTTCGCCTTTTTTTTTTTTTAAACTGCATTTTCATGGAGGAATATGCGCTCAGATTGCATCCCTTCAGCCAAGAATGCTACAGATCCATCTGTTGTGTGTGAGAATGCTGGGAGTGAGTTTTTTAGGACTGCATGTCCCAGTTTTAGTGAGCCGCACAAAACACAGAGGCAGCACTCTGCTCGTTCCACTCACTCACTCAACCAAGACAAGCTAGTAAGGTACATGAGCTCAGGCTGCAGGATTATAAGTGTAGTTTAAAGCATATTGTCATCAGAATGAGAACTGGAAACAAGCAGCTGCTTCCCCTCTGATTTTTGATTACTACAGCTCTACACGTTACGCATCTACATTCAGACTTGACATGCATCCTTTGCGTAGCTTTGTGTCACAAATCTGAAATTGATATGATTAAATGTGCAGCCATGGCATCCTCACATAAACAAACATGCATGCGTATGCGTGCCCACGGTGCAGGCGCGCAGAGATGTGTGCATTCACAGAACGAGTGTGCAGAAACATGTCCGTTTCATGCACATATGGAGATACAAGGCTCTGAAAAGCGACTGCGTGGAGGCGTCAGGTGGGCAACAGACAAAAAACAAATACCCCATGAAGGAGCGCTCTCGAAAAATCCGTCATGCCTGTTTGCCTCTGATGGCCCTTTTCCGTGACAGGTGATTTAAATCACAGAAACACGGGGCGGGCCACCTATGCCCATGGTGCAATGGGAAATGAAAGAAAGGAAAGGAAAGCAGGGGTGGGGGTTTGTGTGCGAGGGGGGTGGGAATGAGGGTCAAGAGTTAAGAGTGAAAGACCAAAAGCGTTAAGTTGTGAAACTGGGGGAAAAGGCTGGGAAAAGTGCAGCTTGTGATTTGCACTTGTTTGCCTGCTGTCTGCAGTGTGAGCTGCCTTTGTGCAGTGGCCAATGCAGTTGGAATGAAGGCTATTGTCTAAATCCTCCTGCAGAGCACCTGATAAAAGAATAAAGAACTATGACATATTCTAAAAACAATGGAGGAATTAAGGGGAGACAATAGGCCAGCTGCCTCATTAAAACAATCAAAAACGGCATCCTGTACGTAGTCCAGATAATTAAAAACCACTGCTTCCTACAGTCTCTCAATACCATATCCACCAGCTCACTGAGGCCCCGAGACTGTGGCTCTGCTGGCTAAATGCCCTCTCCCTTCTCTTCTCCTCTGTTTGATTAATGGTTTATTTGAACGCGCAGCTGAAGATGAACATATGAAGGAATTCATGAAACAAAAATTATAATGCAAACCCTTCTCTCCCCCCCACCCCTCTATAAGCACTCATAAACTAATCAAACGTCTCAGGATGAATCGCAGGCACTGGGGGCGTCTGTCCCCTCCCCTTTGCCTAAAGCCCTGAGAGATTTCAAAGTGCACGCATCACAGGGGCATTTTTTAATTTTCTCACTTTAAATGACTTTATAAGAAAAACGGATGTGTACAGTATCTGTGTGGATGGGTGGGTGTGTGTGTTGGGGGGTGGTGTTGGTAGAAGAGAATATGAGATACTTGAGCAGGAATTTTTTCAAATATTTTTCTTCCCCCCCTTTATTTTTCTTTTTTTTTGTGCACCCTGCAAACCGCTACCACCACCACCAGCGCCATATCTTAATGAAGTTGCAAACAAATCTCTCATGCCTCGTGCGAAAAGCTGAGAGACAACAAAGCAGCAGAAATAACAGAAGGGCCCGGATAATTAAACTGGCCTGAAGACAGGTATTCAAATGTTGGTGTGTAAACAGCACAACTCTTTAATAGTTTAGCTGTAAAATGCGTAGTTAAGCACATCAGCACTTGCCTCTCCCATCTGTCCAAACACATTACCGTTGCAGAGGCCATTACGGCACTGGAGTACAGTCCCGCTGCATACCAGCCTGTGTGTTATGGGAGGGGTTGAACGGTGCTTCTGGGAACACTAACGCCGGCCCATCGGCATTATCTGAATGCATCGTGGGGTCATGTGTTACAAAGAAACACTCTGCAGGTGAAGAAATGGCCGAGCTTGAAAGGGAGATCTGTGAGGTATACTTGTGCCGAAGTGCTTGCTGATCCCATTATGTTGTAGAAAAGAGCAAAAGGTTAAAATATCTAATTCTAGATAGCAAAAAAAGACAAGAAAAAAAGATGTTCCTTTGTCAAGAATGATGTTGTGGAGACTTCTTTTTTCTTTTTTTCCCTCGGCTTCTTAAAGTGCTCGTCTCCGTCTGTTGGCTCTGCGCTAACTGCTGGTCTTAATTGTGAAGTGAGGCCAGTGGTGCCTGAAGCCACAGAGAGGGTTGTAATTAAAGACCTCTACTCTTCTTGTCTTTAAATCAGCTCCGACTCCTCCTGGTCAAATGGGAACAAGCTGCTTGCACCTACGAATATCAAGTAGCTGTGCACCGTTAGTCACCGCTTCTTCTTCTTCTTTTTAGCTTTCACAAAGCTCCAATCAGAGAAGGAGTGAATTACAACCTGACACAATAAACAACTTCCTCCCTACCCGCCAACCCAACGGATCCGGTGGAAATACTAATACGTGGATGAATAATATCTGTATCTGCACCTGACGAGCGGACCCGATGGTGCCGTGACAAACGCTAAACACATCCTCCTCGTGAATACTGGTAAATATTTGGACTGTTTCTGGATCACCAGAGTCGAGCACATTAGGATGACTCACGGCTGTCAAACCAGCCGTCACAGTCCCCCGAGCCAGAGCGAGCCGGCGGCAAGAAAGGAAAGCGCTGAGCTTGGACCCGAGCTGGAACATCATTCGCGGGGTCAAACAAGCTTACTATTATTGACGGTACACTAAACTAGAATTAGCTGACTCTACTATTATTTCACGAGGCTCTGACACAGATTGACTCTCCCTCCCTTTCACTCTCTGCTTCCTC